CTCCAGCTAACAGCTTTCTGCTGTACTTTCCATGCCTCAGCCCAAGGTGCAGCAGCTGTGAGTTCACACCAGGTAACTCAGGACTTTAACCTGCCAGGTGCCTTCAAGGATGGAGATGGCATAACCATTTAACCATTCTGGAAACCTTTTCCAACATGGCTGTCCTGTTGGAGTGGGAAAAAAAATGTTTTTCTTATATCCATTTGGAATCAGTTTTGTTTCAATTTATGCCCACCAAATTCAGCAAAAACACATAATGATGAAGAATTGAAAAGAACTGAAATTTTCAACTTCAGTGATTTTTTAATAACCATTTAGACCAGAAGGATCCAGAGAATATCCTGGCCCCATAGAAACAATCACTCCTCCCATATTTCCCAAACTACCTCCAGACACTATCCATCAAACTGTCCCTGAATCTTTGCTAGGTGCTGTAACACAGTAAGTAAAGTAGCCAGTTAACCAATACTCAGAAATCTATGCTACAGAATGACCTGACCATCTAAAATTAAATCCCCATAAACAACTTAAAACAGTACAGTTAGATTAACAGTTAAGTTAATTAACAGTTAACTGACAGTTAAGTTAGATATGCCTTCAGGTATTCCCTTAATTCAAAATTTAAGAGCAGAAATAAGTGTCAGAAGGTGCATGGGGGAAAAATATGAAGTGAAAGTATGAAAGATTTGACATTTTCTGAAAACAGATTATCTAGAACTTGGAAATAGTAAACAAGATTCTTTAAACACAATCAAACCAACAAAGAAACAAAAAAAAATCCCACCAAAATTGTAGCAAATAAACTCAGGAATGAGGGAGGCAATCTGCTAAAAGTGCTTTGCCAAAGCCATACAAATAAAAGCAATGATGTGCAGCTGGGGGGCTCTCCGCGTGTGGGCTCCTGGCTCACGACTGGAAACATCTGCCAAGCGTTTGTTGAACGATGCCATAGCCCTGCCTGTAGCCTTCATTTATCAGGTGCTCCTAAGGCTACTGTTGATGGGTTCACCAGCCATATAACTTAATGCTTTGTTCTCATGTACTTTGTTCTTTATTAAGATATTCCCAAGTACCTAGTTTCAGGTTTTCTGCTGCTTTAGAATAATATTCTCCCTCTTCTAAATCACAAGCCTTAAATTTGCTGTGCCTGTCCTCAGAGAAATTCTGAGGGTCATTCTGGAGTGAGGGGTAACGATACATGTACAGCTTCCCTCTCTGCTTATATTTGGTTTCTCCCTTCATAAGTTCACTCTATCAAAAATATGAATATCTCCATTTTTTCCACCATAAAGAAATGTAACAGTATCCCTTATTATAGATATGGATGATTTAAAGCCAATGCAAGGTTCAGTTAACCCTTCAGAAAGAACTGTATAACTCAGCAGAGTGTAGCAATAGAAATAATGATATACACTGAAGAGTGAAAGAACAACTTTCAGACCTGCGAGACTCATTTGATACCAAGAATTATTGAAATTCTACAGAACATTTCACATATAGCTTAGTTTTTCAGAGTTTTAACTTAATTTCCAGGCTGAAGTTGCAATAAATTTTAGGTAAATTTGTACAACACTGCACAAATTTGACAGCCAAGCACCTGAAAGTTTGTGCGGCRCAATTCCTGTAGTTTTCAAGGTGGTTTCATGGCAGCTTCCAAGGAGGATGGCTAAGGTATGTTTGTACACACGCTGGAAAAAAAATGTTACTGGTTCCATTATCCAAAATTTTTTGCTGTARATATTCACAAAGGTTTACAGTATTGATTATGGCTCTCACTCCACAAAGACACGAGTCTCTCATAGATCCTGTATAATATCTTCCATTCCCACCAGGATATCTTAGATAGCTCAGGACAGCCAAAGAAAACCCTTTTTTTCCCAAGAATAAATATCTTGTGACCAATGGAAGTACCTGTGAGTAGATGTATTTAGCTCTACACATTTTGCCTGAGGAAAATTTCAATTAATGATTCGAAACTTTGCTTGATGACAAGATCAGATCTTCAGTACACAGAGAACATGCCCACGCTTCTGCCAGTTTAGCCTTCAGCATTTGCCTGTTGTTAAAAGAGGATTTCTGTGAACTGCTAAATTATTGCAGTCCCAGATTTTTAATGGAAGAGATTAGTTTTCAGCACCTTTCCATGTCAGAAGCTCTATTAGCTTTGACTCTGCAAAGAAAATATTTTTCCATAATTTAACACTAGATGATGGCTAAATTGCAAACAGAAGTGAAGGGCCCCCTCTGGATAGCTGCAAACAGTGGGAAAGTGCCAACTGTCAAAGGTGTTTTAATATCCATAGGTGATTATTACTTTTAAAATTTAAATATTTTAAAACACCCAGTAGGGCATACAAAGCCAGACCTGCAGATGGTGAACCTCAGACTACTATCATCACCAATTCCAGCCCTTAATTCTAATTTAATAAGGCAGCCACATAATTAAATTGTGATTAATCTAATTTATTTAGGATTAAGAGACACGTGTGTAATGAATAGGAAATATATAAGGTTCTAATGACCAGCTGCTACTTAACTTTATTTYCTTTCTTAGCAAGAACTCAGGCATTTAATGCTGAATTTGTCAAAGACCAAGTTGGAGAAGAAACTTTAACCTACTTAAAAGTAACCAAGTTGTTATCAAATTTACAAAACAGAAATATTTATAAAATATTTTGAAGGTAAGTAATGTCAAATATGGACAGAAAAGCRTGACTTGAATAACTAACACAATGAAATATCAAATTATCATTGTAGCCCTTATCTCTGCAGACCAATTAATCTGGCTCTATGTGTGCACTGAGCTGGAACTCCACTCTGGTGGAGCTGCCAATAACTCTGCCTGAATGTGAAACAGCAAAAGCAGTCTCACTCTACACATCTAATCTGATGTATAGTATATTAATAAACTTTCTTTCTCTCTCCCTTTATTTTTTTATTTTAATTTGAGAATTCAAACATTTCTCATAATTAGAGGAGACCCTCAAAACTGTGCATCAAACGTGGCACCACAGCTCTGGTGGCATCACAGATCTTCCCTTCCAAGCCRATATCTTCACCAGCTCAGGGAATATGTGGTGCAGTTGTTTGCTCGTCATGGTACTGCTCTGGGACATGTTTGGTGGTTTTTTTTGCAGAAGAGAGAGAAGAATACCCACTATACTTGTCATTCTGTGGAAAAAAAAAAYGTATAAAACTCAAGGGAATAGACTAGGTATCTTCTTTTTATTATTTTTTCCCTATGAATTTAAATCAAAAAGAAATGTCTTGCATACTCTGAAATGAATCACAGGAATCATGCCTCTTGTTATCCTAAAATGTAATATAGAACCAAGCCTATCTACGCTGTTCTGCAGCTTRTACTTTGAAATCTGCTGTGCACACTGCTGGATCATAGCAATACATAGTCTTGAAGAAAATGCAATATATCATTCTAGTTATTGGAATAGAGCTCAATAAATGAATGTCAGAAGACCACCAATGGGGTGTGATGAAAAGCACTGAGACTAAAGATTTCTGGGTGACTCTTAAACTCGGCTGCCCTTGTGGAAAAACACCCTCATTGTTGCTAATATCTAGCCTTTCCATTTCTACAAAGAGTGTWTTTTTCTCCAGCTTTCTATTTATTATTCTAAAAATGAAATTCACTGGATTTGGGGATTAAATTATCACCTCTGTACAGTAAATAAGCAGAGACCTGCATTCCTCACCTCTGAGCATGTCACCAAGCAGGGAGGGGGATGCACTCGAAGTCTCTAATCAACAGTGCTTGCACATCAAGGACTGTTGCCTTGGGGAACCTGCTGAGAACAACAGTGAAATCACTTAGACAACTTTTCCTTTACCAAAAACTACAAATAAACTTGCAATACACCCTGTTCCTTTYTTCCCTCATGCGAAAAGAAAAATATTAGCAAAATTGACAGTTTGTTTCAGGAAAACATTCTAAAATTACTGTTCCCCCACATGGTAGTGATGGGTGCTTATGTTTTTTGTAACACCTAATAGTCACCATACTAAGGCAGGCGGTCTCTGACCCCAAAAATACTCAGTTTAAGCATAGGTCAGGACACAAAAAATAAAAGCTTGACAAAGAGGGAAACAAGAAAGTGGTATTGCCCATGCCAGTAGCCCTACTTTGTCAACACTGTTTTACAGGGGTTTTATCCAAAGTTGCCTAACACGGAAGAGTTTCAAGATGTCTTTTAGAGAAGAAGGAAGAATTTCCTTTGCATATTGCACAGGTTATCCTTTTTGAGCACAAAAGGCTGCCTAACAGACGACATAGAAATGCATGATTCAAAATGAAACAAGCAGGTGATGCAAGGGTCAACACMCATGGCTGACCAGCATGAAAAACAAGCAGGTAACATGACAGTGGAGAAAGGACTTAAGAAGATGTCTACCAAAGAGGGAGGCAGAGAAGACTGCAAGGCAATATTTGACACAGGAAGAGGTCTGWACAAGGAAAATGACAGTCTGATGGAACCATCTGTAGGTGGATGACAAGATAGGCATTTGCTTGAGAAAATGGCACTGAGCTAAATCAGAGACTAGAGATATAATGCTAAGTATTTTAGTTGGATAAGAGACACTTGAATGATGGAGGGTGTACATTTAGCACATATCTTACAATAAATAGATTGTATTTATAATGAAAAGCCAGCAAGCTGGCAGCTCAGATAGGAAGTGAACTCATGAGTGTGTGCAAGGTTTAAATCTGTCTCTAAACATATTTAAATTTTTAACTCCTAGTAAAATTAAATTGCAATAATTAAGGAGTGGTGGAGAGTGATACCAGGAACCAGATAGAAGTGGAATTTAAATGGGGGAGAAATACCCTGTGATGAGCCTTCAGGGAACAAACAAAAAGTTAACACTTGATGCAGAGCAGAACACACAAATAAGGGTTAACACAACTGCAGTTAATGGGAATTAGGTGCCTACTCAGCCAAGATTTTAAAGGAGAGACCTTGGGTGAAGAAAGATCTGTAGGTCATCTGTATTGAGTGGATAATTGAATCTGTGCTCTGTTGATGAGATTAACCAGAGGTAAGATACAGAGATGAGAGAAAATTGAAGCAGGGACAGGCCCATTTATTGCTAAGGAAAGATGAGGACAWGCTCATTTTCTTCAGCATATCTTTCATAGGATATGCTGAAGAGAAGCTAGAGAACCAGGGGACATCAGAGTCACAGGTGGTTGAGGAAAAGACTAGAGTTGCTTCTAACAAAGATAACTAACGTATGAAGGTACGRCAAATTAAAAATGCAGTCCCATTCTCCAAAATTTGGATTGGAAGATGTCACCTCAGCAAATGTGGTTGCAGTTGAATGAAAGGGGAAGAAGTCATTTTGGAGAGTTTAGGGTGGGACTGAAAATAATGATTGAGTTTAAGCAAACTTAAAGATTATCGAGAGAGAGAAGATATAACAGTAGCTGAAGGAGCAAAAGGAGAAGCAAAGAGTGCTTTTAAAGATGATGGACTTTCTTCTAGGGAAGAAGCAATAGAAAATTGAAAATCCGATGAGAAAAAAAATAACAGTAGGAAAATTGGAAGATAGCACGAATCTGAACTTCTATGGCAGCATGAGCAGAAAAGAACAGAAAAAGGAAGAAAGAGTTGTAAGAAATAATGTATAACACAAAAGATTGTGTTATATGTTTCTCTGTTGAAAGTATTTGGATTCTTCATGAAAAGAAGGACACAGCTTTTGAGGAATAAATCAAAGATGGCAAAAAGAGGAACTAAATATGTCACACTAAATATGAAAGGAAGGAGGAAAATGTTGATGCTGTGAAAAAAAAAAAAGAGTGGAAGGAAACATAGATAAGGATGGAAAGGGCAAAAGTGAATCTTGAGGTAGCAAATGAAGAAGAAAAGAGAACAGAAGGGAAAGGATCAGAAAGGAGGAAGACAAATACTTAAGTCAGAGGGAATGGAAAATATTGGCAGTGGACAACAAGGGGAAAGACTGAGTCTGTGCTATGAACATAGTATATTGTGCCTATCATGACCCAGAAACCAAATCCGCCTCCATGCACATTTCTGTCAGACAATTATAATGAAGTTTTTGTGTTTTCATATCAAAGGTAATGCATTGTTGTGATGCTGTCATCCGGATTCTTGAGAAATGTGCTGACACCGTTTGTTCTTTTGGCACAGGCTCAGCTGAGCCCTTCTGGCATCGCTGGTAAGGACCATTTTTCATCAGTGGGAATGAGGTAGCAGTTTGTTTGTGTAGTGTGGTTGTCCAGGGGATAAAGCAAAAAGGCAAGGTCTTTTCTCCTGTGCGAAGATTAACTCCACAGCAACAGAGTTGCAGAGAGTGCAGCCAGAACTGCTTAATTCCTGACACATAAGATTCTTTGTTGTTGGTACACTAGGTGTTTATGTGGATGAAAAAATACTCCATTAAATGTAATGCTGCTTATGAGGGGAGAAGTCTTGGTCCCAAGTTTGCCAGCTACATTTATTTCCCACAGTTTGAACTGGCAATGTGATTTGGAGAATAAAACTGCTGTAGCTTGCAGATTTTCCTATTTATCCAGAGATCACTGTTTCAGCAAGGCTTCCTTCTACAAGCAATACACTGTGGTGCCTGGTGACATGGTCTATTGACATTCCTGCAAAAATGCAATGTTCGCATATTTTATTCATTTGTATAGTTTCAGGCACCTACATCATGGATCCTTGGGTCCTAATATTCATCAACTGGAAYACTGTGACCAAATAGCAGGAGTAGAAGGGGACTGTTGGGTGGCTCAGGTGGTTCTGAGTTCAACTCAGTGAAAACTACAAACATCTAGCACTTTCCTAAAACAGGTCATTTATTTAGACACATTCATTTGAGTGATTTAAATTTAGGGAGCCAAAACAAAAATTTGGCTTAAGTGTGTCACAGAAGATCACTCAGATCAGTGATATGGACAAGACCCCAGATAAGGCCATCTTGCTCATAGCAGCTTATTTGTAGTATGGTTAGGGTGACAGCAGATACATTCCACACTTAAAGGAGTATAGTCAAGATGTTCTGCCTAACAAGGGAACATGTCACAGAATCTCTGGAAAAGTGTTGTGGTGGAGGCCTATAACAGCTAACTGCCTATTAAATGTGAGTACTTAAGCTCAGTTAACATARTTTTCACTCATTAGCCTTGATCTCTCTTCTTTATTTCTCCTGGTTTTGAAAATAGAACAATTCCTAAATCCTTCCTGCAGGGAGATTAAGAGCTAATGTGTCCTTACATGTGCACTTAGGTCTGTACTTCATTCTGAAGCTACTAAAGAATGATACAACCAGTGGACTTAGTGAAGGCATTTATTTTCAAATTCATATTTTTGTATCTCTGTAAATGAATGATGCAGCATTGCTGTTGATGTTTGTCCCATGCAAATTCAGTAAGGTAACAGTGGTAACTTAACAGTGTTAACAGCTCTGAATTTTTCCTAGAAACGACAAGCTTGTCACTTGTGGCAGGCTGCATTCAGTCGTTCTCTGAGCGCTGGCATAACCTGCACACTGTATAGTGTAAATTGTACCACATTCATATAACAGCTGCAAGATTTTGCAGGAGCTGTTTTAGAAAATGCAAAGCCCATCCAAGCTGCTGCATGCACACAGAGCAGCACGGCGGGACATGGAAGCACTGCTTCTCTTTAATGCACAACTTGAAGCAAGCTGAGAAATCTCAGGGGCAGGCATGTGCTGTGGGGTGCTGAACTGCACCYGGCCTGGTCCTGCTTCCAAGGAAAGCGGAGAGCAGACTGCTCCCATCTCCCTCCTGCAAGTAGCTCTTTCCAAAGCACCTCATGTCTGTGGGTGAAGCAGAGCCACATGCTACCAGATTTCCAGGCAGACAGCTGAATTTAGAAAGGGAAGCCATGGACAACTGGGATACAACATGGCCATGCAGACTCTGACCAGGGATATACTGTGAACCACGGTTCAGAAATGCTATTTAATCCATTTGTGAAGTCACTGGATGGAATTGTTCCCCTTTCCTGGAATGAATTTTTGTGACCAAAAGCTAGTCTTCCAACAGAAAACATTATAGGAAAAAAATAATGTAACATTATATCATCTGAAAGACCTCTGTGTCTATTTGACTAAAACACTTTTGTAAACATAATAATTATCTTTGATATACATTTCTTCATCTTTTTGTTCAAAAATATGGCTGGTAATATTTCAATGTGAACTGCCTTCCAGCGGCATGCTGTTTGAAACATATCTGTTATATTTTGCATGCATTAGAATACATGTTGCTGGGAGAAACAGTGGCAGAAGCATGTATCATTCCTTGCCTGTGACTATATTTGTTCATTTCCACATTTTCTTCTTTTTACCTCTTTCTATTTGAGTTCTGTGCCTTGTCAAACAAGCAGTTTTCTAGTCATGGTCTGGAAGGTAGGTAATGCAATTGCAAGGCATCATGCTTTTCTTGCACTTCTTCTGTTCACTCTGTGTCACGGAATCTCTTCCTTGCTTTACATCCTGGAGATGACTCAGGTGTGGGTTTGTGTCCTGCTCCTGTGCACAGCAAGTGCCACACAGCTTRTCCCGATTTCTAAACATCCCTCTTTTCTTGACTTTATTGAGCACACAGACACTTGTTTGATTCTGCACTTTCCAGCTGGATTTGATTGAAGGCTCATTAATACATTGCCTTCTTGTGCTCTGCTTCAGCACTGTCAGTCCTCAGAGAAAGCACCAGTCTTGCCCACTGGTGACAGAAGCTCATTTGGGGCCTTATTTTAAAAACAATTAGGTCCTGATCTGCTGAAATTCTCTTGTTCTTGTGAGCAGAAGGACTTCTTATATCTGCAGATCAGAAAGGAAGGTGTTGCCTTTACCAGGACATTTGCTCCAAAGTTCCCCCGGAAGAGGGAAATTTTTGAAGCAGTTGCACAGAATTAGCAATGAAGCAGGTCCTTTGTGAGCAAGTATGGGGACAAATGACTTCATGTTTGCATCCCATTCAATGTCCAGTTTTAGATGAAAAAAAAGTGGGCGAACAGTTGGAGTGATGCAATGCTGCAGTCAGCTTCCATGCTTCCAAAGAGCAACAAGGGCTAGGAGCAGTTTGTGTGAAAATCAGAGCAGCCTGAATGCGGTGAATGCAGTCCTAACTTGCTTTGATTCAGACAAACAACGGAGAGAGCAAAAATCCAGGAAAAGCGCTGTTGATAATCCCTGAATTTTAAGGGTTTGGGCCAAACTCCAGACACTGAATCTAGTTTAGATTTTGATGGCAGGTTACTGCCTATATTTTTTCCAGTATTCATTGGTAAATTAGGGTAGGAGAGATAATATGCAAAACTGAAGCATATATCAGGAAAGAGCTGAAGAATTAATAATTCTGGAAAGGACTTTGAGAGTTAAGGTGGATGGAAGGGGAAAAATGGAAGACGGAAGGATGCTTACTTTTGACTTGAATTCCCTGTGAAAATTTTAGAGAGGCAAAGGAAAGAAATTGAAATGGCAAACTAAGAGGATATAAGGTAGAAATCATCTTGTAATAGTGTCTCTTAAAGTGGATATGGATTGCTATGAATTATACATCACTAATTACAAAGACTTGAGTGCATCCATACATCTTGTTTCAGGCATGGCAGTTGGGATTCAAAGGGTAATTCTCTGTAAGATACTGAAAAAAAAAAGATAATATTTGTATTTCTACCAGAAAATATGTGTATTGTTTGTGTTTCCAGTGAAATTTTTCTTTCTCAGAGATTATTTCCTCCTCTTTCTGCAGCAGTGAAGCCAGTGCCTAGGAACTGGCAAAGTGTTTCCATGGAAATGAATGGAGGTCTCAGATGTAGAAAGCAAGCGCAAGGACAAGATGGGAAGGAGAACAGGGATTTCCAGTGATTTCAAATGCTTAAAACTGCTCACTGTAATTTCATCTACTTCTACTGTAAATCTCATGTATTTGTGCAGACAAAGGAGAGGGTAGGAGAGCAATGAACAGAGCTGAGATGTGGCTCAGGTGGGAGGAGTTTGTGGTGATTCCTCTTTCTGGACATGCTGCTTTTGTGCAAGAAAGGCTTTTGATTTATTATTATTTGTGTGGTTGGTGTTTTCAGTTTGTTGCAGTGCACTGGAATCAAAATAACTGAATAAATTACAAGTGACAAGAGAATGGAAAAGCTAAATAGAAGGTTGATTTTTTTAGGAGCTTAAAATAAAGTTACTTCTTCTATATAAATACTGGTCTTTCAAGCTTTAATTCATAAAACAGAAGGTCATACTGTCACACATTACAAACTGGAGCAGAAGGCTGAGCCTTGCTTTGAAGGGTAGTGAATAACAGGTTTGCCATCAAAATCAGATTTTTACAGGCATTGTCATTTTGCCCAAATCTGCATTCTCTGATTACTTGTTAGACTCATTGTCTCTGACCTTGGCTTCCAGTTGGAGCCAAGCTGAAATTCTGCAGTTCCTCTCCTCCTGCCTCAGTGTCCTGTTTATTGGCTGTGTTTACACAGTACATGGAACTTCACATTTCCAGGTTAACCAGAGCTCTGTGAGAACTGGGCCATCACACAGTATTTATAAACTGTTGCAGAAAAATTCTAATTTTGTCACAGGCAGGGGAAAGACTTGATGTTTACCTTCTTCCTCTGCATTTTATTTTTTAAAGACCAATTGGAATGTAAGAATGTGACATGATAAAATAAGTCTGAATGTTGTCCTGTGCCAGCTATAAAGGCACCAAAGGCAGGACAATGTATATACTTACTCATCTATACCCCTGTCTAGAAATATAAGGAGAAACCTATGACCTTTTTTCCCAATTGCTTTTCTTTTCTCTAGCTGTGGTGTACTCACTCAATGGCAAATATTTAAATAACTCATTAACTGACTTTTCCCTTGCTGCTGATTATAAGCTAAGTTGAATATATTTCCAGTTATGGTCTGTAATTCCCCACTGGGAAACACACATCCTTTGAAATGATACCATATGCTTTCCCCTCATCTTGGTAAGGCCCAGCAGMTCACCCCTACAAGCAAAGCATGATGAAAAAGTAGAGAGAAAATGTATCTCTGTGGAGTAAAACAGGAAGCAGATTTTGTGCTTTGTGCTAGAGTGTGCATAGCCGTTTTGTTGGGACCAGAAGAGGGAAGGTGCTTTCAGTACCTCCAGATCTTTGAAGACAAACAGCTGTTCCAGAAATGTGGCAATAGGGCATTTTGTCCACTGGCAAGGAAAATAAACTATTTGTTTATTTATTTTTGTTTTTGTAACCAAAAAAAAAAAAAAAAGTGATGCTGATGAGAGGTTTGGTTTGGGCAGGGAGGTGCTGTGGCATGCACTGACAGTGAAATGCAAATCAATCAGAGAGCAGCTCTCAAATTCTAGAAGTGCTAGTATTTACGTGGACAGAAATCCAGTCACTGCCAAAGATRCATTCAAGTTTTCCAGTTGTCTTGCCGAAAATTACGTTTCAGTGGGGCTACTCCTGAACTTAGAACATTAATTATCTTCAATGAGGAGGCATCATAGTGCTATCATTTACTAAAAAGGAGCTGATAACAGGGAAGAGATTTCCCTCTTCTCAGGTAGGTGACTGCAGCCTGAGTTTTCTTCACCCAATAACAATTAATTGCCTCCTAATTGAATTAAGAGTAAAGATTTCCTACCCGTGTGTAGCCATTTCAGCTGTATACAGGATGGCATCCGTAAGAGACGTTGAAGCTATCAGCACTTCTGAGCAGAAATATTTCTCAGACTTCCTGGTAGCTAATAATATCTGCAGTGAGCCATTTATTTTTCATAAATAAGGAAGTAACTGGAAGATCTGCAAACATTATTGAGGAGATAGAAGAATTTCATTTAGATATTTCAAGAATCTCTRGTAGGAGCAGTCCTGGCATCCTGATATTTAGAAACGCTCTAATGTCTCTAAAAGTCTACTTCAATTTAATAGCAATTACAGCTGCAGACTTTGCCAAGTTTACAGGCATATCTATGCTCGAGTCATCTACCAGTGGCAGGACSTGGATGATGCAGGTGGTTAGAGAGGGAGTTTTCGTTCTCCCTACACCTCCAGTTGATTAACAACCTAAGCCCAAGGTGCAGTAGTGGCCAGGCACTCCTGTTTTGTATGCACACATCAAACACAGCCGTGTCTCGGACAGGCTTCCTGATGACCGACTCCTACTTCTGTCTCGTTTTCCTGAATCCCCAATTTGTTTGCAGGCCCCATTTTCCTTCTTTTGACTTACTTTGTTATTTTTTGACAGAGGAAAATGTCTGCTGTCACACTGCACTTGTGATTGAAACCCCTGGCTTGAAAACTGATGAACTGCTATTCTTGCATAATTTCCCTCCTATGGTCTGTGCTGTAAATAGAAGCAAAAAATAGGAGTCTCTGCTCCATAGTCATGGGAGACATTATTTTTCTTTATGACAATGGGAGACATTATTTTTCGTTATTTTGCAGAATATCTGCAGATAAACAGCAGGAAATCTTTTTACCATGTCATCATTTAAAATCAAATCAATTTAAACATGACGGCATTGCAATGTTTTGTTTAACTGCCAGATGCAATTAAACATTGTGCATCTTTTGTTACTCRTATTTCTAGGGTTTCAACAATGTGTGGAATCTGTCCAAATTTAGAGAAGACAATTATGAGGCATCTTATCCTGCCTGGAATTAATTTTATATTGAGTCTACCCCATAGTGAATTTCAATGCTGACATAAGTCTTAGAACATTCTAGCTGTAATTAGCTCTCTGACCACTTTTTTTTTTTTTTTCCTGTTTATTTTTGAGTCTTGGAGTTCTTTCAGTCTGCAGAAGCATCTCTTCTTCCTTCATTTACTATTTAACTTCCAAGCTGATTACTTCTTACAGATTTATAGCATTCTACCAAATTCTTCAAACCTCATTTCCAAAAACCAAACTTCTCATATTGAGTAAAGGCAAGAAGCCCTGGAAATGGGATCAGGTGCAAAAGAATACAAATCAATCAAACAAACAAACAAAACTAATTTACAAGATCATTTTTGTTTAAATACTCCAAAATAACTACCTTTTAAGAGCTGATTTAAAACAAAAACCAGCTTCTGTATCAATTTCTTGGGTAGGTTCTTCTTTGTTTTTGCATTTTTTTGAGAAAAATGTATACTTACTAGGATACTTACYAAGTATAACTTACTAGTTAAATTATTGGACCACCTTCCATAAATGTCCTTTCATGGTGTACTGGTGGCACAGCTTCCCCTGTAGGTAAAAATTGTCATCTTTCCAATGAAATTAAAGGAAATCTCTCTTTGGACAGCAGAGTGAGGTTTGACAAGCCATCTGCATCATTATCATCTAATTGAAAAAGTGACTATAAAATAAGACAGCATTACACATGCATAGAAGAATGACTAATGAGATTGTGTAAGAACAGAAGGGAATTATCAGACTGCCTTTAAGTTAGGCAACTAACTTGACGCCAAGAGGTTGTTCTTTAGTTCCTACCTTCTTGTATAGCAGAAAGAGAGGGTGTTTCAAAGAATGGGTCAGAGTAATAAATGATTTAGCAACTCTAATACCCCTCAGAAAGAGGCAGAAATAGGTATCTTGGCCAAACTGGATGACAAATATTCATTTTCCCCAGAGAGATTTATATCTTGCCTGTGGAGCCTATATTGTGCTCATCTGGTCTTGAGCAACTTCACCAATGAAGATATAAATCTCTTTGCAATATTAAGAGACAGTTTCTCAGCTTCATTAAATAAGTCTTCAGAATTGCCACACTAGCCCTGCTGTACATTTTGACTTAGTAAGAGGAGATAGCAAAGAAAATATTTGAGTCATTTATTCAAACTTAAAAACAAAACAAAACAACAAACAAACAAACAAACAATCTGTTCTCCAAGTGTTGTTGCCACATACACACCCACAGCAGATTTGAATGGCTGAATGTCTCCATGCTAGTTTCATCTATCTCTCCTCTCTTCTTCAGTCTCTTTACTTCTCGCCCCATCCCTCAGTGTTTTGCTGCAYGTGAAGTTCTTGGAGGCAGCAGGCAGCCAATGCAATTAATAATTACTGCCTATATTAACAAAGCTTTCAACTGAAACTCAGATCATAGAGGGTAGAGGGTCTCTTTTAATTTCATAATTTACAGCAGTTAATTCCATGTGTAGAACCCTGGTACTGTAGCCTTTTTCCACAGCAGACAGTGGAGAACTTACTGTAACCCTGTACTAGAAAAACATGTTACCTTAATAAGGGAGAATTCCAGATAATTCTTTGTATTTCTAGATCCTACTCCATTTAATACATGACTGTAAATCTGTATTCTATGCAAAGAGTTCAGCAGTTCCATCTGCTTTGTGATTTAAAAATCTTATCCAGATGCAGTCAGGATGACTCTGCTATCTATTGCTCATGATTAGTGGCTGCTGTTAGAAAYTAATCTCACTTTAACTTGAATTCTGTGTGGAAGAAAGAATATCTGCCAGGGAAAATACAGAACATTCACTTATTGATCTAGAAGCAGATTGTTTTCTGCTAACTCTACAATCCTCACAATTAGTGGTAATAGAAGGTGCAAAGGGAATAGAGAGGAATCTCTTTGCAAGATCACTTCCCTTGGCTGCTCTCTTGGCACTATTTGCATCTCTCACCTTGCCCTTTTCACTCCTTTTAATAGAGGGTGGATGTGCTGAATGTCACCTTAAAAACCATATCATTAGGTAAAAAGGAAGGAGTAACTTCAAGCATTTAGGAATTAGTAGACTGAGTAGGAATAACAGGTCAGAAAACAGATTTTATGACCCAATACCCACTCTAAAACAGCACACAATCTATGTCTAGCCACATGTTTTTAAGAATTGATAGAAAAGCAATCAAGTCCCTGATTTTGTA